AAAGAGAGAGAGAGATTGATTTATGCAAAATTTCCTGCATTCTTCATTCAAGATCACTAGCATCAGCAATGATTAACTGTTCCTGAACTCAGTTTGATATGCTGTTAAATTATGTTTTGGCCTGATACGCAAAGGTCAGTTATTTATAATCTGAAAACAATAACTCTTAGCAGGCACTAGTTGAAACTGTAAATTCCACATTGAATGTGGGGAAAAAAATCAAAATTAATGAATATTTTATATCTTACGGCAATCAATTGTCCACAAGACACTATGAAAAGTAGATGTCGACTTGGTATGATCACAAACTGTAGTTGAGAAGTTTATAGTTTATGATATATTGCTCTTTGCTAATTATATAAGTAATTACATTTATGGGGACTGTAATAAAGCTATTTTATCCTGAACCATTTAAACTGAAAATTGGGTATAAATTTTTAAATGACATTTACTGATAATTTTAATTTTTTTATTAATTTTGCAATGCCGAGGATTAATGATAAGGTGCATACCTCATGCAAGGTATGCACTTTACTGGAACACCACAATAGCCCCAATTTCTGTTCTTTTTTTCTACTTTTATGTGTATTAAATATGTTGCATATTATAAATGTTATCTGCAATACATTAGTTTTAATTGGTAATACAATTATTTGAATTCTCTCCAAGTCAAGAGCATCCAGGTACTTCTGGTTTTCAGTTCTAACATTTTAAATTATTAAAAAATCACCAGTGTACTCTAACAAGCAACTGAAAAAATAACTTCTTCTTAGATTCAATTGGGCTGGAGCGATAGCACAGCGGGTAGGGCGTTCGCCTTACAAGCGGCTAACATGGCCGACCCGAGTTCGATTCCTCCGCCAATCTCGGAGAGCCCGGCAAGCTACCGAGAGTATTCGATATGCCAAACACAGTAACAACAAAGTCTCCAATGGAGACGTTACTGGGCCCGCTCGAGCAAATCGATGATCAACGGGAGGGCCTTTACCTTTACCTTTAGATTCAATTGAGAAGTGAAGTCATAGGGCAAACAAATGCCATAAATATTGGAAATAATATATATAATCATTTCATATATATACATATACATACACACACACACACACAACACCTGAAATGTTTTCCTATGAGAGAATTTTCAGTGATTTCCATGGTAATTCTATGTCGACCTGTAATAGTGGCCAAAATAGGCACAGCCTCTTCTCTAATTCAGACCATTTATAGATTGATACCACAACCTATCTTCTTGACTAATGTTTTCCAGGGAAGTAAAATCCTGACATTTCACACTCATTGAAGAATGCCACTTTTGAGTCCAATTTTTAAACAAAGGCATTTCCAGCTCTCACAGTCTCCAGTCAATGCACCAAATCCTGAATTTGAGGTAAAAACATAAATTTTGTTTGTACAATTTTCTATTTAGTCCTTTTTAGCCTAATAGCCTCAAAATAAATATATGTATACTCTCCAGAATCTTGATGCCTTGTTCTTCTTCACCTTTACCTTAATATGAGATCTAAACAGTGCATATTTAATTGATATAATGCTACAATCCTTATAGTTGGATTTCATGTTTAATTCTCAGTCACACCTGGCCTGTATATACAAGAAATAATTTTTCTTAGAGTTACCTTGTGTTTTGTTAAATTCCTTCTGGGTTTTGTGCTAGATATTCAACTTTTCCAATTTATCTTTTTCCTTATAAACTCTCTCTAGTGTAAGAAACACTCATCCTATGCCATCTTTGTCATGAAAGTGACTGTGCCATTTGATCTCCTTATTTTTTGTCCCCCATCTGTGCCTCATTATATGTACTATTTTTGATAGTTTGGATAATTATCCAGTCACATGTTGCATATTACCACTGTCCGATTTCCCCTTGCCAAGTAATTTATTCATATGCTCTTTAAATATTTGAGTAGCTCCAGCTGAGAGTTCCATTATAAAGAGTCTTTACTGGAACCATCCTGGTACTTATAACTGCTTTCCTCAGGGTTTTGTAGAAACCTGTCGGCACACTTGAACTGATTAATTTTAAAACTACTTAATGAAAGGATTGTTGAAAAAAGGAGTAGAACTGTTGAAGGAAATGAAAAAAAAATAAGGCATCTAAAACTTAGCTACAAAAAATCCCCAAAACAAACAAAGTGCTATTATCACCCAAAAGCTAAGAAATAAGGAGAGATGGAGTCAGTTCTAGAACTTAGAGAATTGTATACCAAGAGCAATGACTATATAGTGAGATATCTGGTTTTAATCAGATTAAGTCAGTCACTGGGAACAAATCAAAATGCAGGTGGGGAAGTCAGAGGAATAAATATTCAAGCTCTTATCTCTCTTTTAGACTTTAAATTTCCTGCTGCTGCTCACCATGGCCTAGATCCAACTGGAGTATGTTTTAGGTATTCAAGATTGTATTGCTTAAAGACCAGTTCCCAAGGACAAAAAGGCAAGAAGGGAAGGATGGAAGATAAAACTGCAGAGGCAAATGAAAATTGTCTGGTAAAAAAAAAAACATATTAATGTCTTTCAATATATTTTATTTGGTTTGCTAATATTTTATTAGGATTATTATACCTGTGTTCGTAGCAGAATTGACCTATCATCTTCCTCCTTGTACTACCCCCTCCCCATGAGTCAGACTTTTTATATAAAAATCTGGCATCATATATTGGGTGTATTCACTACTTTTCTTTCACCTAGAAGATTATCTATCGAATTGGAATTATTATTTCCTTCAAAGCACAACAGTGACACAAAATCGTTTTATTCTCCTTTCACTGCGAAAATCATGCTACCTGACCCTTCCTTATTTCAAGAGGGTCTGCTCTGTACTGTCCTCCCATTGTTCATTGATTTGCTCGAGCAGGCCCAGTAATGTCTCCATTGTGAGACTTTGTTGTTACTGTGTTTGGCAAATTGAATACGTCATGGGTATCTTGTCAGGCTTTGCCATGTGGGCAAGATACTCTCAGTAGCTTGCCAGGCTCTCAGAGAGGGGAGGAATCGGGCCGTCTGGGTTGGCCATGTGCAAGGCAAACGCCCTACCTGCTGTGCTATTGCTCCAGCCCTCTGTAATAATAGTACATACTCATTAATACATTTCTAGAGTTCTGGAGCTGTCATCATTGTTTATCACTTTCTTTCAGGCAATGCTTCTGTTAAGCAGGAAGAACTTTTATACTGTGAGCTTCTTGAATAGTACATATTGGAGAAAAGTCCCTGAAATGAATTACAAAACCATAATCTCTCAAATTATTCCTCTCATTACCTTCCCCTTCTTCTGTTTAATTAAATCACACAAACCTAAGAAAAATTAATGTGAGATTTAATAGAAGACAATGATTTTTTTTCCTAAAATTTTTTTTCTATACCTGGCTATATCCACATAATTAGCCCTCAAAGTTTCTCCAAAATGGGTGTCAAGAGTAATATGGTCCAGGTGACTTAATAAATACCTGGGCATTAATTGCTATTAGATTACTTAGAAATATTCCATTTTCTATCAAGTCTCATCCTTTTCTGGTGGGAGGGGTGTTGGGTGACACCGAACTATGCTAAGATCTTACTTCTGGCTCTGTGTTAGGGGGTCCATCTGGGACAAACATGGTAGCCACTACACTACAGAAACTACAGAAACTACCATGGGTTTCCTGTACGTTCATATGCTTGGGATCAAATCCTGAGTCTTTGGGGTACAAATGAGGTAAAACCTGTTCTCTCTCTCTCTAGCCTCTTATATTTACTCTTACATTTTTTGTAATTTTGTTCTCTTGCCAGATTGTGTTCCTTTAGATATCCTGTATGGTACAAGTGAAAATTGACAGAGCATGCGCATACATTATTTGCATGTGCTTACCTATGCAAATCTAAAATGTCAGTGTGTTGACTCAGAGTGATAAGGGGTGGGGAGAGGGAAATGACAGAAGTTTGCTCAGTGACTTGCTGTGATAAAAGGTGATGGCAAGTTGCCATGGGAAGCTCAGCGAAAGGAAAGTCAAGGCACTCCTTCTCCATCAGTTATCAACAAGGGTAATTGCTCCATAGAGGACAGGAAAATGCCACTGAGAAAAGGTCACCCACTTTGGAGAATGAGAGTGGGAGAGTGGCTTTAGTAATGATACTAGGCTGAAGTGCTTTTCCATTGTACATCACTGGGACAGTTAAAGAAACGCTGCTTCAGACAGAATGCCATGTCATTTCCCCCATGCTCGCCACTCAATTTCCTGTGTTTAAAACTAATCTTGATGCAATCACTTGAAGGTGGGTCTTTGGAAGACACCAAAATACTGAAGATTGAATCCTCATGAATGAAATAGTGCTCTTAGATAAGAGATTCCACCGAGTTCCCTATCCCTTCTGCTATGTGGAAACGCGGAGAGTAGAGAACTGAAATCAATCACCCAAGTTCTTGGAAAGAAAAGAAAAACACCATTTTCGACCTCCTGACTCACATCTTTGTTTTCCATTTATAAGGTTACCTGAGTTGAGAATTGGGAAGTGCCTAAAATGCACCTCTAATTTCAAGCTAATAAGTCAGGCTGCCATATAATTTCACAGAAGATAGATATGAGACCCCTCTCCCCAAGTCATAAATGGAGTATAATTTGCTGTTTCATAGAAGGAGCAGCAGCCAGAATATCAATATTTTACCCAATTCCCTGAACATGACCCAGGCACACTTAAAGTGAATTACATCACAGGGACAGGAATACTAGGCTTAGAGACTCTGAATCTTTGATAGTGAACAATAACTACAATAGCTTCCATGACTATTTGCTATATAAAATGTTGTTTAAAACAAACTGAATAAGAAAAGAGCAGGTGTCTCACCCTGAAAGACATTCAGAAACTGGACAAAAACCCATGGAAGCCTGGACCTATGCACTCTCTGAGAGACCCCCTCCCCAAATCTTTTACTCTAAGAATAATAGACAATAAAATGCTCTCTTTAAAATGTTAATTTAAATATCAAAGTTATATTTCAATAAAATGCTTATTTTAACAATAAAATATTTATACACAGATGTTCTCTCTTCATGTATTATAATACAGTGAAAAACAAAAACCAATCAGAAAAAGATAACATTCTAATTCCACTGTATATGACCACGGTATGACTACTGTACTGGTGGTGACAAAAATGGTGATCTTGAAGCAAATACTTGCAGATCGTCTAAGTACGAGTATGTTTTCTGGCTTTTAAAATAGTAGGTTTTGAATCGTTCTTGTATTTTTTTCTAATATCTTTTACTTCTTCATCCTTAAGTATAAATGAAGCCAGGGCTGGAACTTGAGAAAAATAGTTTATAGCCAGGATATGTTTGTGTTTGATCTTGTGAATAAACAAAGGTTTATATCCCTGAGAAGAAAAGAAAATTAAGTGCTATTAGATGGCAGCAATATTTTTGCTCAATAGAAGCACTTTCCTGCTTCATTTGTCTGTTCTTCCCAGAAATAATTTTTTTCACACTTTGTTTTTCATTTTTCAGGGCTCTTCAATTTTTTTTAACAAGGCTGTTTAACCTAATTCTCCCCGTGATCTCTCTGAGTCTAAACTAACCCCTTTCTTCAATACTGCTAAGCACTCTGTGTATACTAATCACAATATTTAGTTTATTCTGTCTTTGATTTCACTATTTATTTAGAGTTTGATTGTAAGGAAAACTTCTTGAAGGCTTAAACTGAGTCTTTTTCATTTATATGTCTTCACACCACAAGTTACATGTCAATTGACATTTTTGAATAAATGTTCTCGTCACCTTAGTTCTCTCTTTAAAATCTATTTCAGCACTGGGTACAATTACCAGTTTCAATCGGTTTTCTCTATAACTGGCATTTCCCTTCATCTTTCCTGAAGTAGAAGTAAAGATCACATTGTGATGTGATGAGGTAATTTCTTTTTGTTCATCATTTGACTACCTTAGGTTTTGGGAAGAGTACCTGAACTATTTCTAGCCTGGGGCAAACAGAATATAAACTTCCTTCCTTAATAAAGCCTCTCCTTCCTTTTTTCTTTTCGTCTTTATTTCCTTCCTCCCTCCCTCCCTTCCTTCCTTCTCCTTTCCTTCCTCCTCCCTCCCTCCTTTCCTTCCTCCCTCACCTCTCTCCTCCCTCCCTTCCCTCCCCTCCCCCCTCTACCCCTCCTTCCCTTCCCCTCTCCTCCCCTCTTGTCCCTCCTTTTCCTTTCTTTCTCCTTCCTTCCTTCCTTCCTTCCTTCCTTCCTTCCTTCCTTCCTTCCTTCCTTCCTTGCCCCCTCCCTCCCTCCCTTCCCTCCTTCCTTCCTTCCTCTCTTTCTCCTTAACTAATTTTTAGACTTTTCGTGTCTCCACAGCTACAACATTATTTTGGACTCATCATGTGAATTGCCATATTATATGACAAACTATTTTCTAATAAGAGTGGAATATTACTAATTTCCAAATTCACATTTCTCCCTTCCATTTGTATTTTGACGTCTGATTTTTTATTTTTTATATATTTAGCTTTTCTCCTATCCATCAGTTGTAGGGAATAATAGTTATATTACATATTTTATTACAAGTAATAAGTATGTGCACATGATATGTATATTATATACATGATATATTACATATCTCCTTATTATATACCTATAATTTAATATTATAAATACAGTGTATACTTATAAATATATAGATTTTCATGGTGCCAAAAAAGTAATTATTAAATATGACATAAGCATATTCTTAGTATATAATAATGACATCCAATACATACTGTCCACTTCTCAAATTATCTTCTTTTTGTAGATGACAAAAACAGGCACTGAGATATTAACAAACTTGGCTAACTTCTCCCAGCACCTAAGTGTTCAAAGTCAAGTCTACTCTGATGCTTTATACAGATTCCCCATTTTAGCTAACTTTTATCAAATTTAAAAAAGTAAAGAAGACATGTCTTAATGTCGCGGATTGTAAGTGATAGAAAAATGGGAATACTGGTCAGTTCATAATTCAAATTCCCTATTGTTCCTACTTTGACCAGTCTGCACACTATGAAAAAGTGACATGCCTCATTTAAGTTCAAAGCTTTTACCATGTTTTCCCTATAATTGGTGTCATGAATGTCACTGTCACTGTCACTGTCCTCCCATTGTTCATCGATTTGCTCGAGCGGGCCCAGTAATGTCTCCATTGGAAACTTTGTTGTTAATGTATTTGGCATATCGAATACATCATGGGTAGCTTGCCAGGCTCTGCCGTGCAAGCGAGATACTCTCGGTAGCTTGCCGGGCTCTCTGAGAGGGGCGAAGGAATCGAACTCAGGTCGGCCATGTTGGCTGCATGCAAGGTAAACACCCTACCACTGTGCTATCGCTCCAGCCCCGGAGTGATAGAATGGTGGGTAGGCGCTTGCCTTGCAAGTGGCTGTTCCCATGTTCGGTCTCCGATACCACGTCATAAATGTAGTGATTCAAAATTATTTGAACTTTTAAACCTAATTTTCATCACTTACTAGGAAAGAAAACTCTGTGTACCTTAAGAAAATTCTGAATATACTTCAGTTTACAGAAAAACACAACTTTGTTAACTGTCACTGTTCTCCTGTTGCAATTTAATTGATGTTGTTCATCGATTTGCTCCAGCGGGCCCAGTAACATTGTGAGATTTGTTACTGTGTTTGGCATATCGAATACGCCACGGGTAGCTTGCCAGGCTACCATGAGGGCACGAGATACTCTCGGTAGCTTGCCAGGCTCTCGAGAGGGGCGGGGGAATCAAACTCAGGTTGGCCATGTTGGCTGCATGCAAGGCAAACGCCCTACCCGCTGTGCTATCTATCGCTCCAGCCCATTTGTTAACTAGAATGTTGAATTCTAATACCTACAGGATTGCACCAGGGCCTGGAGCAATAGCACAGCGGGTAGGGCATTTGCCTTAGATGCAGCCAACCCGGGTTCAATTCCCAGCATCCCATATGGTCCCCCAAGCACCGCCAGGAGTAATTCCTGAGTGCAAAGCCAGGAGTAACTCCTGTACATCACTGGGTGTGACCAAAAAAGAAAAAAGAAATGGATTGCACCAGTCCAAATCATTTAAAGGAATTTTTCTTTGTTTATCTGTTGAGAACATAGCTCTGTTTACAAAGATTCAAAAAGATCAGTGATCTTGAGATTGGAAAATTTAATTTGATACTGAAATAATTTGATTAAATACACAAAGGGAGTTAGTTGTATGGATTAATTGAAGAAGGAGCAAAATATCGGCTTTGTAGAAATGAACTTCCATTCCACAATGAGTCCTAAACAAAATGTTAGTGTTGGATATGCTCCCAGTGATCAAATATTTATGAGGCAGCTTAGTTTGCTAAATATAATACTTAATACAATTTAAATTTCTTGCTGCCCTTTATTTCAAGTTCTAGAATGAAGTTTTTCTTAGCTTTATTCTTCTGGAAAATTATTGAAAAAAAAGCCAAAAAACTTAACTAGCTTCATTTCTCCCTTAACCAGCAAAAAAAAACCAGACAAGGAATAGTATTGATCAAAATGACTAGTGTATTTGCAGTAATTTATTTTTTTTCTTTTATCTAATATCACAGCAATTGAATCAATGAAAAGCAGAGAATTGGTTTCCATTGTTGGGAAGTTAGGCCTGTGTAATGTCAATATAAATCATTAGGAACTTTTCAGGGACTCCTTCCTGCCTCTCATCAAAATGTTTTATGGATTGTGTCATTAAAATAACTAAAACTAACAGGCATTCGGTTTTTGTGGTGCTTTCTCACCCTTAGCTAGTTGGAAGCAGATGGAAATGGAGTCTCCAAGCTATATATATATATCCCATCAATGTGAATGATGAGCATACATTTAATTACAAACTTCATTTGGAAATTAATGTCTTTTACACCTTTTGGTAACAAGCTATTGATGAACAGATTCTAGTTTCTAAAATACTTTTCAGATAGTAGTATAAATGTATTCAACAAGTAATTATTATTATTTTGATTTTGTGGCCACAGCAAGTGGTGTTCAAGAATTACTTCTGGCTCTGTGCTCCATGATCATTCCTGTCAGGGTTTGTGTGGCAGAGATACAATCCCAGTTAATTGCATGCAAGGTCTCCAGCAAATAATTTTAAAACTCTGGTTTGTTATAGGTGCTGTTGTAGGTATTAGAGACACAGGCATGATTAAACTAAACAAAATTCCTACATTCATGGAAATTACCATAGAACTGAAGGGCTATTATCAGGAATGTTTAGGTACCTATGTTTAGGCACCTAGTAGCATCATGTTTAGGTACCTATGAGATGTTCAGATCATACATCTTATCATGTGCTTTAGCCTCCTTTTCATTTTAACCTCTGCCCTGTCAACTATATGCATATTTTGTTAATTATCTTTCTTAACACAATGGAAGTATTTAGATTATGCATCGACTATAATAAAAGGCAGTGAAGTTATTTCTAACAATGCCAAAGAAGAAATTAATTTCCTAAATACAGCTGAACTTAAGTCTTACCTCTTCGATACTTTTTAGCTTGAGATGAGCAATGCTTTCATCTTTGGTGAGAAGAATGCAATTCCAGGGAGACCACTCTACGGACTTGTCCCATCTGACCATGACTAGCTTATTGAGATCAGTACAGGAACTGAGAATTGACTGTGATGACCAGATGTTCTCAATCAGGTACTGAATATCCTGTAGCTTTATGGCAAAACAAAATTAAAAAACAAAACAAAACAATGTATTCAATATCTCTATTATCATTACACTATTGAGTAAATAGTCAAATTATATTGAGTATCTTTTTGAAAGAGAAATATTATTCACAATTATAGTGGCTGGTACTTTGTTGTTGTTGTTAAGAAAACTATTCTTTCTGCCCAAAATATTTCATTAGCCTGAATCCTAAATGCCTCCTCACTGTATATTTTTCTTTAGATATTCTCTCTTTTCCAGTTTATATTTAATGCTATTGGGTACATTCAAATGTTTACTATTATCTTAGCTCAGAATAAATTCCCCCTTTACAAAGGAGGAAATTGAGATTTAATACTTAGCAGTTCATTGAGTGTTATTTTAAAGGCTGTTGTTTCAATCAGAAAAGAAGGAATAAGTGGAAATGAGCTACTTAAGAACTTTTAAAAATTTAAATCATATTAGCTGAAACACTTCAAATGATTTTTTTCATCATAAGGTCTGCATATATAAACTTAAGAATTGCCAAGGAGGAATACTTACAGAGGTTAAGTAAAGGGAAGTAAATCATTATTTTAAAAACTTGGGGAGTAAACTAAGAATTATTTTTGTAAAAAAAAATAAACTTACACTATTTACCAAAGCTTTAAACAATGAAATAAAGGAACAGAGTGATGGTACAGCAGTTAGGGCTCTTCCCTTGTGTGTAACACTCTATGGTTCCAGAGCCCCACCAGGAGTAAGTCCTGAGCACTACAGGTTGTGGCCCAAAAATCAAACAAAACAAAACAAAAAAACTTATCTCAATAAGCTGTTTCAGTGTTCCATAAATGAACAATTAGGCATATTAACTTCAACTGATATTATCAAGTTCTCACTGAGTACTGAAAAAATATAGACAATGCTACAACAGTTGCTCTGGAAAATCAATAAATAGAATTAAAAAATGTAATGTTTAGAATTTTTACTAACATTCTGAATATGTACCTGAATAACAAATTTTTAATTTAGTTGCATCAATTATATGAATAATTTCAGAGTTGTATTAAATATAATGAAGTTATATTGTAACTTCATGCATGTGAATATATACAATAAACATTATCAATATATAAGGGTGGAGTTTCCCACGTTTCAAATTATACTTGAAATTATACTTGAAATTATTGCATTATAATAATAAAATTATGTCTAGCACTAGGTTACAAGTATCTTTATGAAGGGCAGATAAGAAAAATGATCAGCTGGCATACAGTGAAAAATCTCAATGAAATAGGCCTTTTTCCCTCTGGAAAGAAAGATGGCAGCCACTTCAGAGCTTTATGGAAAGTAAGGTATGAGCCAGTCGTGATGGGGTGACTGAAACTTCATGGGAAGGTGGGGCGTTCCCGTCTCGTCCTTCACACCCTACCGAGGTCACGAGTTGCCCCCCACGAGCGGCTCTCCGGCACAGCCATGGCTCCAGAAGCACAGGGATTTAATGCAGAGCCCGGCAGCTTGCAGCAGAAAAGTGAATGGACTATGCGTTAATCCATGCCACCATGCCTGTCCAGAGGGGAAAGGATGTTGCTCCCTTCCACCTTTTTCCCTCTGGAAAGAAAGATGGCAGCCACTTCGGAGCTTTATGGAAAGCCAGGTATGAGCCAGTTGTGATGGGGCAACTGAAACCTCATGGGAAGGGGGGTGTTCCCGGCTCATCCTTCACGCCCTACCAAGGTCATGAGTTGCCCCCCACGAGCAGCTCTCTGGCACGGCCATGGCTCCAGAGCACAGAAACCAATCTCTTAATTATCTGACTCTCAGCAGAAATACTTGCAGGCTTAATAAGTAAAATACCAGAAATCCAAAATCGCGCGGCCACTATTGTGGCCACGCAACATCATTCGATTCTTGTGACCAGATGTAGAAAACAAATTATTTCACAATGCCTTTTCAGCATGTCTGATTTGGGGGTGTAAACTCTAAAAATAATGGTGCACCTTTTGTTGAAACAATGAATCTAATCAAAGTAGATAGAGTGTTAACTAGAATTCATCTGCCTCACTGGCATTGGAAGTGTTGGGGGGGGGGTGTAATTGGGGTTCTTCGTAGTGAAAAGTGGTATTGGTAAAGGGAAATATGTTTGATATTTGTATGACCGAAACTTAATCCTGAAAGGTTTGTAACTTTTCCCACAGTGATTCAATAAATAAATTTAAAAAACTCAATGAAATAAATGCCTCACCAAGAACATTTTACCCAGATGGATTCTCATTCAGATCTGAAGGAACAACACACAACTTCACAGACAAACAACAATGCAGGAGTTTCATGGACTCAAAACCATGGTTATAAGAAAAACTAAAAGGCTATTTTAAGGCAAAATAGCCTTAAAAGACCCTCAAATACATGAAACTTTTGCAGAAAGACAGGACAAAACCCCATAACAATAATCTCTCTGAATGTCAGTGGGCTAAATACACCAATTAAGAAACACAGAATAGCAGGATGTATCAGAAAAACGAAGTCAAAACACTACTGCCTTCAATAAACACATCTGAATAGTAGAACAAAAACAGACTCAAAGTCAAAGAATAGAAAACAATTCTAAGCAAACAATCCCTTCAAAAAAGCTGGAGTAGCCATACTAGTATCAGATGACATAGATTTCAGATTGAAGAAGGCTATGAGACACTGAAGGTCATTTCTTAATGATCAATGGATAAGCACATCAGGAAGAACTCACACTTCTAAATGTATATGTACCTAATGAGGGACCAGCAAAATACTTAAAACAACTGCTAATAGACTTGAAGAAGGATATTGATAGCAACACAATAATAGTTGGAGATTTCAAGCCTGCTTTGTCACCTCTCCATAGATCACCAGACAAAAAGCTCAGCAATAAAATACTTTATTTAAGGGAAGAAATGGAAGACGGGGGTTAATAGATATATATATATATAGAACTTTTCACCCCCTAAAAGCTGAATAAACATTCTTCTCCAGTGCACACAGGACATTCTCCAAGATAGGCCACATATTGGGCCACAAAACATACCTCCATAAAATTAAGAGAGCAGAAACTGTATCAACTATGAGGCACTGAAAATAGAAGTGAATCAGACCCAGAAAAGGAGAATCAAATCAAACACCTGGAAATTAAACAACTCACTACTGAACAACCAGTGGCTTAGAGAGAAAATCAAGAGATTTTTGAAATAAATGAGAATAAAGACACAAGCTACCAGAACTTGTGGGACACGGCAAACGCAGTTGTTAAGAGAAAAGTTTATAGCTCTGCAAACATTCATCAGGAATAAAGAAAGCCTGTGTTCTCTCTTCATATTCTTCTCTTTCTTGCCCCTCAAGTCTTTTTAAGAAAACTGTGTTGACTAAAAACTATTTTGCTATTTTAACAGAAATAGAAAAAATAAACATATGATTTAGAGGGCTGGAGTGATAGCACAGCGGGTAGGGCGTTTGCCTTGCGCGTGGCTGACCTGGGTTCAATTCCTCTGCCCCTTTCAGAGAGCCCAGCAAGCTACTGAGAGTATCTCGCTCGCCCACATGCCAAAGACTGGCAAGCTACCCGTGATGTATTCAATATGCCAAAAAGAATAACAAGTCCCACAATTTATTGTGAGACATTACTGGTGCACAAGCAAATCGATGATCAACAGGAGGACAGAACTACAGTGCTACATATGATTTATATTTTTTCTTAGATTTTTAAAAATTTGGTTTAAATCCTGTGTTTGTTGGGTGGGGAACACTCGCTTACTCTTGGCTCTACATTCAGGTATCACATCTGGCTGGGCTTGGGGGACTGGGGATCTGCAAGGCAAGTGCCTTATCCACTATACTATATCTCCGGCACTTTTAAAACTGATAATTCTTGGGGCTGGAGTGATAGTATAGTAGGTAGGGGATTTGCCTTGCACGCAGCCGGCCCAGGTTCGATTCCTAGCATCCCATATGGTCCCCTGAGCACAGCCAGGAGTAATTTCTGAGTGCAGAGCCAGGAGGAACCCCTGTGCATCGCCTGGTGTGACCCAAAAAGCAAAAAAAAAAAAAAACCCAAAACTGATAATTCTTATGAAAAATTCAAGTTCTTTGGTGTCACCTAGTAAGGAAGAAATAAATATCTGAAGGCAACTGAGAACTGGTATTTTCTAGGAAGCGTATCACTGTAGGGTACAGGAGGTGAGGGGAGGAACACTGAGACAATGGCAGAGGGAAGTGGACACTGATGGAGAGTGTTGTCCTGAAATGTTTTATGCATGAATCCTGATCATTATCAATACTGTGAACCATGCTAGCTAAAAAAAAAACTAAATATCTTTGATTTCAGAAATACCTTGCTTTTATATATTTCTTCCATTAACAATGTTCTCTTCTTGACTGATAAACATAATGTCCACACCTTGCAAAATGTGCCAAATCCAGTATCACGGCTGTGATATGTTACCTGCTTGCACTTACATACTCTAACAGCTGCTCGGCTCTGAGAAGCCCTGAGTCTTGCTACTAGAATGTGTGGCCTTTCAATTCTACCCCATTTCTAGCAATGTTTGAAAAGAAGTAATGCAGTCCACTCTTCTGAATAATTCTCAAGTAATTGTGCTAATCAGGATCTTCTAAATATGGGATATATGGTCATTTTTTCCTTCCTTTGTGAGAAAAATAAAGTAAGTAAAACCAAGATATAATAAATATTCATTGCAAATTATAATAAATGCAGTGGCACGAGAGTACACTGTGAAGTTTCTATAAGTAATATATGTGTGATTTTTTGTCACTGTTATCTTTATTTTCTGTTAAAGAATGTAAGAGGCACAACCTTCAGCTTTGACATGAATGGAAGGTTCACCACGTAACAGCTGCCCACATTCAGACTTCATGTCTTGACCACACTCTACATTAAGTCACTTCATCTGGGAATTTTGTTCTGGCCCTCAGATTGCAGTAAGAAATTTGTTTAGTACTTAATAGTGTTCAACAATTCTTCCCCTTATGTATATGCTGAATGCATATGCTATTTTTAATTACAATTCTTTTTGTACTTTATTTTGCCATTGCAAGAACCTTAATTATTGTGTTCTTTCCCCTTATGAGGTTTTTATTCACCAGTACATCCTCAAACTTATTATTACTATAGCTTATTATAAATATTAAGACCATATCTCCATATATAATTCAAGAGCACCGTTTCCCATGCCAAAGCAAAAAAAACTATGCATTTCAAGTGCACTTCATTTCATTCTATCAGTCCAGTTCCTATGAAGACATCCTCTTGACAGAGACAAATTTTATTCCATGACTGACAAGTTTTACAGATCATACCTCCATCAGAAAAGCAATTTTAGAATCATCATCATAACTGACTTCTGAATAGAAGAGCCGTTTAAGTAAACATTTGTACTTTAAAAATGATTCTCGTTGTAGACTCTCATTTTCAAGGTTAATGCATTTACGACACCGATTTATGTGACGTGAGGTGGAAGATATATAAAAGTCTGTGGAAGGCAAATAGAGGTGACAACTGTAGCAAAAATAAATCTTCTTATAAAAGTCCAGTGGATCCTGTGGGACCTAAGTATTGATGTAGGAGGAGGAAGAAAAACAGAAAGATATAAAACCTATCAAAATACTAACCAACAACTAAAGATCAACATTTAAGAATAAGAAAACAAGAAAACAAGTGGGCTAACTTTCAAAGATATATTTTCCCCTTTAGAACCTACTCTGTATAAAATTTAAGTTTCAGGGAATATTTATTACCCTGTGAGAAAATAAAAATGATATTCCTCAACCTTCAGATATATGTGGAAAAATCAACTAGAAAAAATTAGCAGGTAGCAACTAGGTTGTAAAAGGCCCTCTGAGTATTCTGGTAATTATTTTTAAGAATTTAAGTGCCTGATACTATGCCACATTAGCTACTCTTTAAAATATGCAACAGCCAGTTTCTAATATAAATAAAATCCCTCCATGCCAGAGGGGGTGGCCCATGCTATGGGAGGTTCTTAACTACACATTCAAAATAGTGATCTGCTGTGAATACAAGCAAAAATGTGGAGAAAGGTAACACTCAGATACTGCTGGAAGAAATACAAATTTGTATTTTCATGGCATTAGCCATGAAAACAGTATAAAAGTTTCTCAAAATTGAAATGGAAAAACTAATAATAATTTATTCCAGATACGGAAATTTCGCTGAAGAATATGAGAAACTACTTTGAACCTATGTATTTACCACTTAAGTTCACTGCAGCATTATTTATAGCAACTAAATTGTAGAAACACTAAATGCCCATAAACAGAGTTGTAAATAAAGACATGGTGCTTATATATGCAATGGAATACTACTAAGTTATAAAAAAGGATAAAAAGTTGCCATTTGCAGCAACATGAATAAATCATGAAAGGACTGTGTTATGTAAATAAGTTATACAAAATTAAGCAAAATACAGCATGATTATAGTCAAATGTGAACTATAGAATAAAATTAGAACAAACTTTTAGATTCTGAGAACAAAATTAAGGTTATATTACCAAAAAGGAAGGTGGTGGGGAAGGTAAAATTAGTAAACAGGATTAATTGTGCATTTGTGAAGTGTTAATTGTGCATTTGTGAAGTGATATGTTACTAAATGAATAAATTCAGTTTCAGAAAAATCAATGGTCAGTAATAATCTTAATATTGTATACACATATATTGACAAATATACTTAAAATTTACATAATATTATAAGCCAATATTATATCATTAAGAAAAAATTTAAAGATGGTGTTTCAAATTTCTAGTCTTTTTATAATTCAGCAGTCTTACACTTAAGATTTTAATCCATTTTGGGTTGAATTTTGTATGTTGTGTGAGATAAGGGTCTATTTCACTTTTTTTTTAATCTATTAAACCAGTTTTCCCAGTGTTGCTTATTAAGGAGACTATTTTCCTCCCACTGGGTGTTCTTGGTACCTCTGTCAAATATTAGTTGACTAGAGTTATATGGGGTTATTTCTGATGGGTCTATTCTGCGTTATTGACCTATGTGTCTGTTTTTCTACCAATGCCACTCTGTTTTTACTACTATAGTTTTATAAAATTGTTTGAAATTGGAAAGTGTGATGCCTCAGACTTTATTCTTTCTTGAAATTGCCTTGACTACTTGTTTTTAAACATTTTTATGTGGTTTATTTTGTCAGTGATGTGTCAAGAAAATTTTGATAATTTTCAAATTTATATTAAAAGTACAATTAGAATTTTGACAAGTATTTTATTGAAGCTGTAGATCACTTTTGGTAATATGGACATTTTAACTTCAATTACTCCGAAAACATTTATAAATTTTTTATTTTAATATTTTCATTTAAAATTTTAATTATTGTTTAGACAACATGGTTATAATTGTGTTGAAGTTTGTAAGGAAAGGAAAGGAAAGGCCCTCCCGTTGTTCATCGATTTGCTCGAGCGGGCCCAGTAACCACGTCTCCATTGGAGATTTTGTTGTTACTGTGTTTGGCATATCGAATACTTCACAGGGAGCTTGCCAGGCTCTGCCGTGCTGGTGAGATACTCTAGGTAGCTTGCCGGGCTCTCCGAGAGGGGCGGAGGAATCGAACTCGCGTCAGCCATGTTGGCTGCGTGCAAGGCAAACGCCCTACCGCTGTGCTATCGCTCCAGCCTTGCACGCAGCCAACATGGCCGACCCGAATTCGATTCCTCCGCCCCTCTCGGAGAGCCCGGCAAGCTACCGAGAGTATCTCGCCCGCCCAGCAGAGCCTGGCAAGCTCCCCGTGACGTATTCGATATGCCAAACACAGTAACAACAAAGTCTCCAATGGAGACGTTACTGGGCCCACTCGAGCAAATCGATGATCAACGGGAGGGCCTTTACCTTTACCTTACCTTACCATGTGTATCTGTATCTCTGAACTAAGCAAGAAGGAATTGTTTGTTCGTGGTTTAAAGACCTCCCCTTGTGTTGAAGTTTATGGAATTTATTTACAAAGCTATTGTACTCCACCATTACCAAAATGCCTACAATCCTCCACCATTGTCCCTATGTCACCTGCAAAAATTAATGTAAACCAAACATCGAAAGAATGATTGTTACTAAATGAATACATTCAATTTCACAAAAATTAATAAGTCTCCTCTGTTAAAAAAATACTGCTGAAAGAATGAAAAGACAAGAAAATGTCCACAAATCATACATCTTAGAACTTATTTTTTAAAAAATTCTCAAAATTCAGTAATAATGAAAAAGATAAACCAACCCCAAAAGAGGGATATGTAAGAAAACATATTTACTCTTCTGTAATATAATCAAGCTCCTAAATTTCATTCAAAGGAATATGCAAATAAAAAATACTTAGTATGTCAATCTGTGTGGTATTTTAATCTAGATATTTAATCAGATTCTTAAATAAACTATAAGTCTAAAAGTAATCATTTGAACACTGTAAGTCATTAATTACCACCTCAAACTTTTCTGAAAGCATTTTCAAAAGTTTTTCACAGTTAGAAGTCATTGAGTCATCATGACCCTAGCTTTATGGAACAAAATTCCCACAGAGGCCTAGACATCCTGGAGCTGGAGAAGCCAGCTTAATTTCTTTTCATGACATTTTTAAATGAAAATAAATAAATTTTGATCCCTTCACCCAGAACATGCTAGGTTTAAAAGAGGTAGTTTGGCTCAAACACATATTACATTTTAAATTCCATCAGGTTATCTACAGAAATCTGTTCATTAACCATTATAACTTTGTGATAAGTATTATAATAAATGGCAAGCTCCCCGTGACGTATTCGATATGCCAAACACAGTAACAACAAAGTCTCCAATGGAGACGTTACTGGACCCACTCGAGCAAATCGACGAACAACGGGAGGGCCTTTACTTTACTTTTATTATAATAAAGAAACATAACCAGGTATATGAAGAATCAAAGATATGAAGAGTTTAACTTTCTCTGAAGTCTTAGGAAGAAGAGGGTATGAAAACTGAATTTTAGAAAATGAGGAGGAATTGTCTAGATGAAACAGTAAACAGTAGTTCATGAACAGTGAAAGCAACTACACATGCAAAAGCATGAAGATAGAGACCATGAAGCATTCAACAGAGCAAAATATTCAATGTAGTTTGGTTCAGAGATTAGGAAAGAATTCAAAACAGGATATGCATGCACAGAAAATAAGCAAATTAATTCAATGACATAAAAATAGCAATTCAAAAAAGATCTTACCAAAAAATACAATCTTCCACATGGAGCCCAAGTAAAATTCTAAAACAAAATTAATGGGGCTGGAGCGATAACACAGTGAGTAGGACATTTGTCTTGCACGCGACCAACCTGGGTTTGATTCCCAGCATCCTATTTGGTCCCCCGAGCACCACCAGGAGTAATTCCTGTGTGCAGAGCTAGGAGTAACCCCTGTGTTTCGCAGGGTGTGACCCAAAAAGCAAAAAAAAAAAAAAAAAAAAATTAACTACACTTGTAAAATTTGAGAAAGTAAAAGTATTTGAGAAATTTTGAGACTATTTAACATTTTATATTTAAATTTGAAATTAAATTATTTTAAATATTTAACATTTAAATTGAGAAATTTAAGAGTTGAGACGATTTGAGAAAACATGGAGAAAAGCAGAGTACCTTAAGGTGTCTTGCAACTTCAGGATTAAACAAGGGTGTTTTAATGTATTGAATAAAGAGTGTTGCAATTCTTTTTCTGAGTCCTTCAAGGTTACAGTGTTTGACTCCTCGCATCATAAGGTCAACCTCTCTGTCAATCAATTCTAAGATTTCTCGAGTCAGTTTACATTCGTGTTCCTGTAAAACACAAAATATTTGGCACATAATTTTAAAACTCACTGTTTAAAGTTCATTTTTTAAAATTATCACCTACACTGAAATCTAGATTCCAAAATAAGTTTTAAAACACTGAAAAACATACAAATGGATACAACTAATTTGGAAAAAATTTTGACAACACCTAGTGTCAAAACATATAAGACAGTAATTCTACTTTTAAGTACCTTACAGGAATATGTATAAGTCATAGTTCACAAGAGCTTCAAATTTAAAATATTCTCAAGAGCTGAAGCACTGTAGCACTGTCCTCCCATTGTTCATCGATTTGCTCATGTGGGCACCAGTAACATCTCCGTTGTGAGACTTGTTGTTACTGTTTTTGGCGTATCGAATATGCCACGGGGAGCTTGCCAGGCTCTGCCATGCAGGCGGGATACTCTAGGTAGTTTGCTGGGCTCTCCAAGAGGGGTGGAGGAATCAAACCAGGGTCAGCCGCATGCAAGGCAAATACCCTCCCTGCTGTGTTATCACTCCAGCCTCAGCAGAAGTACAGCAGAAAAAATACTTGCATAGAGCAAACCCAGGTTTGATCCCACACACCACATATGATCCACCTAACTCCACCAGGAGTAATTTCTGAGCACAGAGTCAGGAATAAGTCCTAAGCCCTAAGCCCTGCTGTGTGTGACCTTAAAACAAAACAAAATTCTCAAAACATGAGTAATTTACATAAATAAGCGATGGCATTCATACAACAAAAACATTTAGAATATGAAAATGAATGAAATAGAGCTTTATATAATAAAAAGATTAAATATTATAAATTAATGATAAGCAAAGAGAGTAAGACACAAGATAATATACATAGCATCATTCCATTTAAATGGATCCAAAATATAAGCAACATTAAACATTATTCAAGTATGTATATAGAAGCTCTAAATCTAGAAGAAAAGTTAAGTTACTATCAGGACATTCAGTACAGCAATTACTTACAGGGGATAAACTGCAATCACAAACAGAAAAAAGGCATACTGGTAATACTGAAATTATCTTGGGGCTGGAGATATAGCACAGTGGGTAGGGTGTCTGCCTTGCACGCAGCTGACCCGGGTTCGATTCCCAGCATCCCATATGGTCCCCTGAGCACCACTTGAGCGCATGAGCCAGGAGTAACCCCGGTGCATCGCCGGGTGTGACCCAAAAAGCAAAAAATTTAAAAAAAAGAAAAAGAAAAATTATCTTATTGATGAAACAATAGTACAATGGGTAGGGCACTTTCCTTGCATATGGCCAATCTGATTGATCCCTGGCATCCCATATGGTTCCTCAAGCACTGCTAGGAGTAATTCCTGAGTGCAGAGCCAGGAGTAACCCCTGAATATCACTGGGTGTGACCCAAAACCACCCAGGAAAAAAACTTTTGAATGAAGTCAGAAGCAAAATCTGCAAAATAAAATGTTTCTATATTTTTAAGGAATACTCTTTTTTTTGGCTAATACATGACTCTATGCCAGTGGTTTCTAACCCTAGAAATATATTAGAAAGTTATGGGGGAAAATATAAAATTATTTTTACAGTGCTCTCACCAAGAAAAGTATAATTTAACTATTCTGAGATAGGACTTAGGTAATATTCTTACTCATTTTTTTTAACCATTCTTATTTTAAATCATGTTCTCTCATATATTTCTGTCTGTCAGTTTTTTTTAATTTTTTCAAAATATTCTAATATACATTCAGACCAAAGACTCATTGATCTATATCATAATTATAAAAATAAAGTAATACCTATTATTTATTGAGGTTTCCCTATTTGTAAGCACTGAGACATACCGGTATTTTACTGATATTTTGTATTTACATATATGTACTTACAAACACGTGAACACATAAGCACATATATTTATGTCCTAAAAGCAACTAATTTTAAAAATGACAAAATTGACTTCACAAAATTTAAACAACTTTTCTTAGTTTGCCTAATTATAAATGTATATTGTCAGAATTTGAATCACACTTACAGGCTTTAATCTTCCTTATAATGTATGTACACTTAGATTAAACGTATTATCAAAGATATGCATATTTATTTTTATAAGTTGATTCCTTGGCTTTTACTTAACCAGCTAATGGTCATAATTATGTCAGGTAAGAAAATCTCTTCACTGTTCTCTAGCTGTGCTCATTTTTCCTACAACCTTGTCCTTTTACTGCCCTCTAGAGATGCCAAGACTATTTTCTACCTCTAGACATAATTCTTTCCCAGTGCCTATTTCTACCTTCAAAGACTAGTTACTTCATAATTATCTTTGAAAATATACTTTAGAAAAAAAATCAAGAAATGCTTCTGCTCTCAAAATAGGCAGAAATCGGAGGCATCCATGAAAGGTCTCTCAGCAAAAGCCACTTACTAAACTATTCATTGTATCTTAAGAACTTTATGTGTGGTCTTGTTTATCTTCCACAGAGCTCTCTGCAGTTAATAAGTGAAGAACCTACATGAGATATGTAAGAGTGAAACTTGTGTAAGCCTTCGGGGGGATCATATGTCTCACTAATAATCTATTTCTATGTAGCTGACTTTTTTCCGTTGTTATTTATAGTAAATAGGTCATTTTTATTTGAATATATATATATATATACCTATAATCTGGCTATTTGGGTCAATTGATGACCAAGATTTACGATATATAGTTATTCTATCTTTTATTTTTGTGCAAATTTTAAAAGTGCACTTGATCACTTGACCACTTGATCCCCCGTTATTCATCGATTTACTCGAGCGGGTGCCAGTAACGTCTCCATTCATCCCTGTTGCGTGTTAGCTTAGCCCAATACATCTGTTCATTCTAGGAACATGCAGAGCCTCAAACCGATCATTCAGGGTCTTGACAAAGAAGTCTGACCATCTTGTAGGTGGGCGTCCACGCGATCTTTTGATATCCTGTGGAATCCAGTCAGTAATGGCTCTAGTCCAGCAGTTGTCTGTAAACCTCATTACATGTCCAGCCCATCTGATATTTGATGCCTTGGCAAATGAGACAGCGTCCCTGATTCTTGAGCGTTGACGGAGATCAGAACTCCGGATTCTATCTCTCATTTGAGTCAAGCGTGATATTCCAAGCATAGCTCTTTCGATTCCTCTTTGAGAGACCCGAATAGTGTTCTCATCCTGTTTTCGTATGGCCCAGTTTTCGTAGGGTCCTGTTTTCTCTGAGGCATATCTTAATTCAGGAAGAACATTGGAATTGAAGAGATGTGTTTGTAGCTGGAGGTTCTTTGTCCTTTTAGTCCAATGCTTTAGTCCAATGTCCAATGCTCTTGAAGGCATTCCAAGCCGCTCTCTTCCTCCTGCATAACTCAGGTGCCAGGTCATTCATAATGTTGATTTCTCCGCCTAGGTATATATAACTGTTGCATTCGGAGATGGTGGTTTCTTTGAGAGCGAATGGAGCATCAGGAACGAGGCTGTTTCTCATAAACATTGTCTTCTTAAGATTCAGCTGTAGTCCGACCTTTCCATACTCACGGTCGTAATCAGTCAGCATTTGTGCCGCTTGGCTGATGTTTGGTGTTATTAGAACGATGTCATCAGCAAAGCGGAGGTGGTATAGTTGCTGACCATCTATCTTCACTCCCATTTCTTCCCATCCCAGTCGTCGCATGATGTTCTCGAGGGTGGCACTGAAGAGTTTTGGTGAAATGGTATCACCCTGCCGAACCCCTCTCTTGACATGGATGATTACTTCTTTGTAGAATGGTGAGATCCTGGTAGTGAATCCGTAATAGAGCTCACAGAGGATCCTGATGTATTGAGTTTGTACACCCTGATTGGCTAGGGCTTCTGTGACCACTTCCATCTCAACAGAATCAAAGGCCTTCTTTAAATCAATGAACGTTAGACAGAGAGGCATCTTGAACTCCCGAGAAACCTCAATGAGCTTAGTAATCATGTGGATATGGTCGATGGTACTGAATCCTTTTCAGAACCCGGCTTGTTCACATGGTTGTCCTTCATCTAGTGTTCTGCTAATCCTATTCAGGATGACTCGAGTGAACAGTTTGTAGATGACAGACAATAGGCAGATTGGGCGATAGTTGACAATGTTGTGGATGTCTCTCTTCTTGTATAGTAGTATAGTGATACAGTCTTGCTGGTTTTCAATTGGGATGGAACCTTGCATTCAGACAGGTAGCATGTGAAGAGCCGAGCCAGTGTATTGATGAGTACTGATGGTAAGTTCTTCAGGTGTTCAGGTCTGATCTTGTCTGGGCCAGGTGCTCTTTGATTCTTTACCGACGAGATGGTGTGTTGGATTTCGGAAGGGAAAACATTGGGAATGATATATCCATCATGCAGAATGTGGTATGTGGGCAAGTGGATGTGACTATTAAAGAGATCTGAGTAGAAGTCATGAATAATTCTCTCCATTGCCCTTCTGGAAGATGTGATAGATCCATCAGGGTGTCGGAGGGCAGTCATCTTGATCTTGTAGTTGGTGAAGGACAGGCGGGCATTACGAATGCTTTTCCTAGCTGCTGCCGCATCTACCAGCACCGCTGTTCTCCTGTCTTTGAGGTCATCCTTGATGGCTTCTCTGCATTGTTTTGCCAGCTCAGACGTTCACTTGTGGTTGCCTGAGGTATGTGCCAAGCCACATTTGCAAATAAGTTCAAGAGTGTTCGAAGAAAGGTGGTATTTTGTGGTTATCTCTCTCTCTTGGCATTCCTCGCACAATCATGGAGGTGCTGAATCATTCGATCGTATTCCTCATCAATGTTGTCAATGACAGCATCTTCCCATGTTGCCACAACAGAGTCAAAGAGCTCCCAGTTGGTGGTCATTCTGGGAGTTCTCATCTTAAACTTTGCATTCTTTTCTCCGCGTTCTGTGAGGTAGAATTTTGCATGAAGGAGATGGTGGTCTGATCCTGCTTGGAATTTTGGGACAACAGCAACATCGGTTAGGCAAAACCACCGATTGAATATGATGTGGTCTATTTGATTGTGGAACCA